AACAGCTAATATTGTTCATCAGGTTTTTCAATCTCCTTTTTTTGTTGTTGTTTTTTTTTTAATTAATAAACTTTTACACTTCTAAGAATAAATTTTAAAGTCTAATAATTTTAAACCTTGTTTGTTTTTCTGCTCTGGGAATTGAGAAGCAAACTTGTTTACATGTAAACTTGCCCTTAGGCTATCAAAAGGTGTAGCCATTCAAGTGTAAATGGACACATTGTTTAAAGATAGCTGCTGGAGCTGGTTGTGGAATGAACCAGAGCAGCAGAGGCCAGGCCCTGGGCAGCCGGCCCGAACGGCTTGCTCCTTGCCTGCCCCTGCCCCTGCCCCACGGCTGCTTCTCAGACATGGCTGGAACTTTCGTGGGAACTTGAGGGTCTGCTGAATCAGGTGATGAAGGCTTAGATCTGGATGTGTTGAGTTAGTTTAGGACTGGGGTGTTGATCTGTGAGTGCCTTGGGTGGGGCCTGGATGAGGCTGGTGGACCTATTGGGAAATGTCTTTTTTGTGAAGTGTATCATTGGGCATGTGGAGGTATTATTGATATGAGAAAATGCTAAGTAACTGATTTACTATCTGAAATCGGGTAATGGGAGGGAAGAAGAGACTGAACATAAACTGTGCACCTATGGATGAGGACAATGGGGGATGGGGAGGGGGTGAAGGGTGGGGTGGGAACCTGGTGGAGGGGGGAAGAAATGAGGAACCTTTGTAATAATATGAATAATAAAGATTGATTAAAAAAACAAAAAAATAAAAAAGATAGCTGCTGGTTAGAATTGGATTACCTGTTCTGGATGGGAAGGGCTTGTCCTCCCCTTTCTCCATTAAAATTAAGGTGTTAGCTTTAAAACCTCTTTTTGGCAAGAGACCTTAAACTTTCAGAATTTTAAATTTTTCAGATAGTAAATCAGTTACTTAGCATTTTCTCATATCAATAATACCTCCACATGCCCAAGGATACACTTCACACAAAAGACATTTCCAAGTAGATCAACCAAGTAGATCAACCATTTCCAAGTAGATCAATCATCCAGGCCCCACACAAGGCACTCACAGATCAACACCCCAGCGCTATACTAACTCAACACATCCAGATCTAAGCCTTCATCACTTGATTCAGCAGACCCTCAAGTTCCCCCAAAAGTTTCCAGCCATGTCTGAGAGGCAGCCTTGAGGCAGGGGCAGGCGAGGAGCGAGCTGTTCCAGACCTGGCTGCTCCGGGCCTGGCCTCTGTTGCTCTGGTTCACTCCACAACCAGATGCTCCGGGTCTGGCCACTGCTGCTCCGGGCCTGGCTGCTCTGGGCCCGGCTGCTCCTGGCCTGGCTGCTCCGGGCTTGGCTGCTGCTGCTCTGGGCCTGGCCACTCCCGACCAAGCTGCTCCAGGTCCGGCTGCTCCGGGTCCGGCCGCTCCGGGCCTGGCTGCTCCCGGCCTGGATGCTCCGGGCTTGGCTGCTGCTGTTCTGGGCCCGGCTACTCCAGGCCTGGCCACTCTGGGCCTGGGTGCTCCTGGCCTGGCCACCCTGGGCTTGGCTGCCTCCGCCCCAGGTCTGGCTGTGGGGCCTGGCTACTGCTGCTCCAGGCCCGGCTGCCTTGTGCCTGGCCACTCTGGGCCTGGCCACCGCCGTTCCAACATTGTCTTTTTATTTTTTTTTTAAACGCATTTATGTTGCAATGTTGGCTGTTGAGTTGAGTTCTGACTTAGTCTTCGATTTTTCAAGATCTTTGTATTCTTTCTTAAGTAATTTTACTATCTTTTGCTCTCACTTGATTTCTTCACATTGAAAACTTCTTCGGTTTCTTCCTCCTTGTCCTGGAAGCTCAGCAGGTTGACCTGCGGCACCCCTTTGTTCTCCGCAGGCTCCTGCGCGGCTTCAGCCTGTTGCCGGGGTCGGCGCCGCCCAGGAAGCAGCCCCGGCCTCGGCTCCATGGCCCTCGCTCAGCGGTCGAGGGCCCAGCGGAACCCTCCCCCGCCCCCCGGGGGCCCTGTCACCCAGCTCCTTGCTGGCGCCCGGCTGGCCGGTGTCCGGCAGCGGCTCCTACTCCTCATCACATTCCTCCCAGTCTGGAGCTTTTTTTCTCCTTCCCACTAGGGGAGTCTAGCATCAGAGTCAACAGACTGTCCTATGTGCGCGACTCCGGAGACTCTGCCCCTCACCATTTCCCTGGGACTCCGTCTCACAGCCCCGTCTCCCTCTGTTTGAGCCTAGGTCCCCAGGGATTGGCCTAGAACTGGGGTTCAGAGCAGTCGGAACTGGAGCCCAGCAGGGCCGGAGCTCTTGTTTCCTTCCTGCCAGGGCAATCTAGCATCAGAGTCAACATTCCTTCCTTTGTGCTCAAAGTGCGCGACTCCAGGGCTCTGCCTTTTGCCGCTCCCCCGGGATTCCACCTCACAGCCCTGTCTCCCTCTGCTTGAGCCTGGATTCCCAGGGATTGGCCTAGAACTGAGGTTCAGAGCAGTCGGAACAGGCTCAGCACAGCCAGAGGTTTTGTTTCCTTCCCGCCAGGGCAGTCCGGCATCAGAGTCAACATTCCGTCCTCTGTGCACAATGTGCACGACTTCTGGGGCTCTGCTTTTCGCCGCTCCCCTGGGATTCCGCCTCACAGCCCCATCTCCCCCTGCCTGAGCCTGGGTCCCCAGGGTCTGGCCCAGAACTGGGGCTCAGCGCTGCCGGTTCGGGGGTTCAGCCCAGTCCAGGGCTTTTATTTCCTTCCTGCTAGGGAACGCCAGGCAGGCACCCAGCCTTCTCCTCCTCTCCCGGCTCCGTCCTCCCCGCGCGCGCGCGCATAGCATGTCTCCATACCTTAGGCTTTTTCAGCTCCTCTGATTTTCCTTCTGGTTTTCTCTTTCCTTCTTGTTGTAGAATTTTCAGTCAGTCTACTACCTGTAGCTCTGGGCAATGTCCATTTTATATTTTAGTTGTATTCCATTGAAATTGTTGTGTGGGGCTGCGGTTAGGTGTTTACCTTAGCAGCCATCTTGGATCCTCCCCCTTAAGTTTTTAAAATAAATTTTGTAAAATTTCTCTTTTTAAAAATTATTTTTATTTTTAGAGAGAGGGGAACATCAAATTGTTGTTCCACTTAGTTATCCATTCATTGGTTGGTTGATTTTTTTTTTTTAATTAAATATATTTTTCTTTATTTTAGGCAGGAAGAGAGAGCTGCTAGAAACATTAATGATAAAAGAGAATCACTGATTGGCTGGCTGCCTCCTGCACACCCCCCATTGGGGACCAAGACAGCAACCTGGCCTTGTGTCCTGACCAGTAATCGAACCATGACCTTCTTGTTGACACTCAACTATTGAGCCTCATAGGCCAGGCTATTGGTTGATTCTTATATGTGCCCTGACCAGGTATGGAACTCTGAACCTTGGCATACTGGGACAATCTCTAACCCCATGGTCGGCAAACTGCAGCTCACGAGCCACCTGCGGCTCTTTGGCCTCTTGAGTGTGGCTCTTCCACAAAATACTATGGCCTGGGCGAGTCTATTTTGAAGAAGTGATGTTAGAGTAAGTTTAAGTTTAAAAAATTTGGCTCTCAAAAGAAATTTCGATCGTTGTACTGTTGATATTTAGCTCTATTGACTAATGAGTTTGCCGACCACTGCTCTAACCAAATGAACTACCCAACCAAGATCTGGTCTTCATTATTTATTTAAAAGTTTAGTATCCCTTTATACTGGGTCCCTGTACAAATTTTAAGGGCCAGGAGACGTTGGACAAATTATTGAACATTTCTGAATCTCAGTTTTATTATCTATAAAATGGAATAATTCTAAGCAGAAAGGTTTTAAGAATAAAAGTAAATAACCTTTTAATTTAGTCTCTGGTGCTAAGACCTAAGGGTCTGCATTTCTAACCAGTTTCCCAAATGATTGGTGTAGTACAGGTTCTCAAATCTAACATGCATCAGAATAATCGGGGGGTGGGGGGGTGGGGGTTAGACCATATAGCTGGACCCCAACTCCAGTTTGTGATTCAGTGGGCCTAAGACGAGGTCTGACAATTTTTATTTCTAACAAGTTCCTAGATGATATTGATGCTGCTAGTCTGAAGCCATACTTTGAGAACCATTGGTGTAACATATATGATGCCACTTTGACCAGCTTAATAAAATGAAAAAAGGGAGAATGGTAATATTTGATGAGCACTCATTATTTACCAGGCACTATTTTATGTGCTTTACATATATTACTTCTTTTAGTTCTCACTGATTCTATGAAATGGGTGTCACCATTATCATTATCCCCATTTTATAGAGAAGGAAAGTGAGTCACAGAGAAGAGGTTCTGTAACTTGCCCAAAGTGACCCAGCTAGTAGGTAGTAGTACTAGTCATACCCAGAGACTCTAGTTCCAGAGCTCACTCTCTAAAACATTATTCTGATAAAAAAAAAAAATTACCTGATGGTTGTGCAGCCCTCTCTTAAAAATAATTTTTCCTGATTTTTTTTTAATTTTTCCTAATTTAAAATAAATATATTTAGTGTTTATGCTTTTCTTAAAATATATTTTATTGATTTTTTTTTACAGAGAGGAAGAGAGAGGGATAGAGAGTTAGAAACATTGATGAGAGAGAATCATCGATCAGCTGCCTCCTGCACACCCTCTACTAGGGATGTGCTCACAATCAAGGTACAAGCCTTTGACCGGAATCGAACCTGGAACCTTTCAGTCCACAGGCAGACACTCTATCCACTGAGCCAAATTGGTTTCGTCTAGTGTTTATTCTTATGTGAGCCTCACCAAAGACTGGAGAACCTGGGTTCCTGATTGCAAAGGAAGCCCATTTCAGCATGTTCCAGCTAGATCTGCCCACAATTCTGTGTTCAGCTAGTCTTGATCTTCAACTGTCTTTTTGTTGTTGAGTTGTTTAGATGTCTTAAAAAATATTTAAATGAAATACTATTTATTGCATTTGTCTCCTACTATTAAGTTCTTAAGTAAAATATGACATTATAGTTTTTTCTCCTTCACAGTCTCAGCCATTATGGCTGTCAAGTGGATTGGTGGACATTCTTCTCCTATTCTCTGCCTGAATGCAAGTTCAGAAGGACTAGTGGCTTCTGGAGCAGAGGGTGGAGATCTCATGACTTGGGGTGAAGATGGGACTCCATTGGGACATACACGCTTAGAAGGGGCCAACGACGTTACCTGTGTCTTATTCTCTCCCGCTTGCCCCACCAAGCTCTATGCCTCTCATGGAGAAACTATTAGCATACTGGATGTCAGATCCCTCAAGGGTTCCCTGGACCATTTTCATGTGAATGAAGAAGAAATAAATTGCCTTTCATTGAATGAAACTGAAAACCTGCTGGCTTCTGCTGATGATTCCGGAGCAATCAAAATCCTTGATTTGGAAAATAAGAAAGTTAGCAGATCGCTAAAGAGACATTCCAACATCTGTTCTTCTGTGGCTTTTCGGCCTCAAAGGCCTCAGAGCCTGGTGTCATGTGGACTGGATATGCAGGTGATGCTTTGCAAAGAATACTTGGGTAATTTCTAAATGGGATGTGTTAGCAGAATCAAATTGAATAGACTATATCTTTGAATTTTTTATTTTCTACTAACATGAACCATAAGCTTTACTTCTAATGCATGTTTTATGCTAACTTGACAGATTAAATTTTATTCACAAAGTAATCACTATTTAGTCTTTTCTCTGTGCTTTAATACATTCCTAATATCTGAGAATTCAGATATTTGATTCTAAATATTTGTGTAAAAAAGGAACATGCTGTAGGCAGAATTCATCTCCTACTTTAAAAAAAAAAAAAAAAAAAAAAAAAAAGTTGGAGGGACTGGATCTGTTGTTTTGTTGTTTTTGGCCAGGGTGGACCTGTTGTTTACTTTAAAATTCTGGGGTGCATTGCCCAGCTGGTGTGGCTCAATGGTTGAGCATTGACCTATGAACCAGGAGGACACAGTTCAATTCCTGGTCAGGGAACATGCCTGAGTTCCAGGCTCTATCCCCTGTAGTGGGTGTACAAGAGGCCCCCAATCAATGATTCTCTCATCATTGATGTTTCTCTCTCTCCCTCTCTTCCTCTCTGAAATCAATCAATTAATACATATTTTTTTAAATTCTGGAATAAGTTAATTAAAATATTATATATTGGTGACCAGGATTGGAGCATTATATTCATGCTGAGTTTTGAAAGGAACGTCACAAATCAGCTCATATTCAGAGGAAAGTATATCTAGAAACCCCATTATGTCTGAAACTGTAGGTATTTAAATTTTGGTTTTCATGAGGGGGAAAGTGGAATATGCTGGTCTAAATAGAAGTCATAAGGAAGCAGAATTTGGTTTAATTAAAGAAAACTTTCTCACTATAGCACCTGTAGCTCAGTTGATTACTGTCCTGTCCTGTACACCGAAAGGTGTCAATTCCCACTAGGCAACTACCTGATCGCATCTAATTGCCCCTCCCCCTGCCAGCCTAATCACTCCTAACCGCCTCTGCCTGCTGGCCTGGTCGCCCCTCACTGCCCCCCTTGCTGGACTGGTTGCCCCTAACAGCCCCCCATCTCCACTACCACCACCACTTGCCTGGTTGTCCCACACAGCCTGCTGTTCAGTCGTTTGGTCATCCCTCACTAACCCCCCCTGCCAGCCTGGTCACCCCACAAAGCCTGCTGTTCGGTCATTACTGTGACAGGTGAAATACAGTAACATTTATTTTCTCCTGGTCAATTTGCATATTCCTCTATTATTAGTATAGATAACCTCCAGGCTCTTTTTATTTTAACCCCAAACTCTTGTATTTTTTTTCTTCATTATCTCTAGCTCTCCTACTTAGATGATACAGCTTGAACAAGTGGTTGAGAAATTGTAAAATACTTTGGAATCTTTAGCAGTTAGGAAGAACAAAGAAATATAAAGAGAACAATTTATTTTTAAAAAAATACACAAGAACAATTTGGGAATCTTCAGTACTTGGAAATGATTCTTGAATTGGTAGAAACTGGGATGGTTATTAACACATGTAGATGATTTAATTAATACAAAATGTTTACGCTTCTGAAAACACTTAGGGTATAGTTCATGTTTGGATGTCTTTGGGGGACAATAAATATATTCCAGATATTATGGGGCCTGTGTGAGAAAGAACTTGAGGGAACTGCCAGTACAGTTAAGCTAGGAGATTCTGGAATGTGTATTTTCCTTTGTTCAGGGTGGGGTGGGTTTTTTTGTTTTTGTTTTGTGTATATGTGTGTTTTTATTTATTTATTTTTATTGATATCAGAGAGGAAGGGAGAGGGAAAGATAGAAACATCAATGATGAGAGGGAATCACCAATCTGCTGACTCCTGAATTCCCCACACTGGGGATGGAGCCTGCAACCCAGACATGTGCCCTGACCAGGAATCAAATGGTGACCACCTGGTTCAAGGTCCACGCTCAACCACTGAGCCATGCTGGCAGACTTTTTTTTTTTTTTTAGATTATTTCCACATCAAGTTCTAGTACTCACTCATTTTTGTGTTTTCTGATATTTTTTATTTTACTAATATCGATAGTTACTTTATTATTATGCTGGCTTCACTCCAATAGCAATTACTCTCCACTTAGTATAATGTTATAAATCCAATCCAAAAGGATTTTCAGTTCTTTTCCTACTAGAAGCAGAAAATAAATGTTACTGTATTTCACTTATTTGGAAAGTAGACTTGATGGAAGTTAACCTTGAGTTAACTTGAGCAGGAGTCATCTTATCAATTCAGATCTATGGTTTTGACTAAACAAAATTTTGCTTATCCTAGTATCCATTTTAAATTGTGAGTCATAATTCAGGGATAATACTAAATGGTAAAATAAAGCTGTATATTCTCTAAAAGTATTAAAAATATTTTCCTTTTCAAATTGGTTGCTGTAGGAAGAAAACGAATCACTATAGAGTGAAATCAGTCCACAAAGCTTATTGTTTCATTTTAATTAGCACTTCATTTAAATAAATTTAGTAGGTCTGAGATCGTGGTAGGAAACAACAAAAAGCCAAATATACCAAAAGGTCAAATTAATCAACAGATAGGTTTAGAATTTCTGCTCTTTTCCAGGCATTATACTAAGCATTAACAAAGATGTATTAAATCTCCAAAAACTGACAAGCTAGTAATGTTAGTTAATAGAATAGGAATTAAAAATGGGAAAGAGAAAAGTGGGCTGGAATAGTTAGGAAATTTCAGTCTTTAATTTTATTTGCACAGATGAGGGTAGAATGACCTAAAGAAAACTGGCAACTGCTTAATAATTTGGATTACATTTTAATAGTCTTGTTAATCAAAAGTTATTCAGGATCTTGTTTTCTAGATCCTATCTTACTGCCCATTGGCATTCTAGTTTTGGCACCACGGTAGCATTCCAGTGCCATTTTGTAGTGCCCTCTAATTTTTTTCTTAATATTGCTGGAAATATATCCTACTAATTAATCTCAGACAATTTTGATGGTTTTATTAGAAGCCGAATAAGCATAGTAGTTTAGCAGGATGGCTAGAACTTTATTTGACAGTGTAACACTCTTTTGTTTAAAGGTGATGCTGTGGAACCTTCAGAAAGCCCGGCCACTCTGGATTACAAATTTACAGGAGGATGAAACAGAAGAAATGGAGAGCCCGCAGTCACCGGGTCAGCTTTTAAACCCTGCTCTAGCCCATTCTGTGTCTGTGGCATCATGTGGCAATATTTTTAGTTGTGGGGCAGAAGACGGAAAGATTCGAATCTTTAGGGTAATGGGAGTCAAATGTGAACAAGAATTGGGATTTAAGGGCCACACTTTGGGAGTATCCCAGGTCTGCTTTCTGCCAGAATCTTATTTGCTGCTTACTGGAGGGAATGATGGGAAGGTAATGATATGGGATGTAAGCAGTGAAGTTGAGAAAAAACAGAAGAGTCCTACAAAACATACCCACAGAAAAAGCACTAAAAGAGCAACTTATACCAACCAGGATGGAAACACTAATACTTCAGTGACACATAAGGAACAGGGCAAAATTTTACCAAAGCTAAGTATTGAACATGGAGAAAAAGTGAACTGGCTCTTGAGTACAAAAATAAAGGGTTGCCAAAATATATTAGTAGCTGATCAAACTAGTTGTATATCTGTGTATCCCTTAAATGAATTTTAAATCCAATAAAAACATTTGAATAACTGTAGCCAACGTTTTAGATTAAAAAAAAATTTTGTTTCTTTGTTTAAACTGTTTGTTATATGTAGAAAAATACCATTCCATTGTATAAATTTTAAGACGTTTGAACAAAAGAAGATAATTGGATAATACTTCATATAGTGAGTGGCATTAAAATTTAGGGGAAGTGAACTAATATTAGCTCATTACTGAACATATCCAGTGATTTTATGTATATTTCATTTTTTTATTCCAAATCAATGATTTCCCCCATTTTATTGGCACAAGAATTGAGACTCAGGGTGTTAAGTAACTTGAAAACCCAGGAAATTTGCAGGTACAGTTACTTGCCTACAAAGGATCTCAGTTTTCCTTGTTAAGCCTCTTAACTTAGGGAAGCCCACATCCTGACTCAAATATGGTCACTACACTAGTTAGAACATAGTTATTTCAGATTCTAGGATGCTGTGTGGAGCCTTACCAGGCTGGAAGAGGAAACCTGTTACTGCTTGTTCTGTGTAAAGCCCAGAAAGCTTTAGTGACAATTTGCCCTTTGCTGTTTCTAAGAAGAGGGTTTTAGAATCAAATCAGTTTAGTATATTATGCAGCAATCCTGGCCATGATGCTGGTAGGACCAAAAATAAACTGCAGTCACAAATAAGCTCAAGATATAAGATAGAAAAAAGAAGAGGTAGAAAATAGAGGCCAAGATCGAGTATCAGTATTAAACTTCTTTTCATGGCCTGGATTGCTGTCTTCCTTGCATGTTCTTTCGGCTTCAGCTTATACATCCTACTCTTATATTCGAAGTTTTGAAGAGAGAATCTGATTAGTTACCATTATCCTTGTTTGAGGAGAACCCTTTGATAAGCTTCATTTCTGTCAGAACACTTGTTAGAAGTGACAGAATTCAAAATTGAATTGGTTTAAGGGAATAAAAAGGAATTTATTGATTCACATAACTGAGAAGTCCAATGATAGCTGACATGTACTACTGGGGTAGCTAAGCTTATAGGATGTTAGTCTATAGTGCCTCGCCTGTGGAAAGTCTTTCTTAGAAGTGAAGAGGTAGAATCCTCACAGTAATTTTGAGCCTGGAACCAGTCATGCCTAAAACAAGTGTATTCCTGGAGGCAGCTGATCAATGGTTCTCATTGATGTTTCTAACTCTCTATCCTCTCTTCCTCACTGTAAAAAAATCAATAAAATATATTTTTTTAAAAAATATGTCCGCATAAAAACCTGTACATGGATTTTATAGCAGCTTTATTTCTGATAGCCCCAAACTAGAATCAGCCCAGATTCCTTAAACAGGTTTATGGTTAAATTGTGATAATATCTACACAATGGAATACTGCTTAAAATGAAACAGAACAGTTGGTATATGCAGCCACTTGGATATTCATATAGATTTCCAAATTTATTGCATGAATTTGTTTATAATATCTTCTTAGCTTTAGCCCTGGCCATTGTGGCTCAGTTGGTTAAGCATCATTCTATGCACCCAAAGGTCACAAGTTTTATTACCAGCCAGGCACATACTCGGGTTATGAGTTAGATCCCTGGTCAGAGTGTGTGCAGGAAAGCAACCGGTTGATGTTTCTCCCTTTCTAAAAAAAAAATCAATAAAATGTGACTTTATTTAAAAATATATCCTTTTAGTTTTTTAATACCTGTTTACATGTATTGTAATACCTGTTTACATGTCAATCCTGTTATTGCTTATCTGGTTTCTCATTTTTAATAGTCTTATCAGGAGCATGTCTTTTTTTTTTTCAGGAGCATTTTTTTTTTCAGGAGCTTTTCTAAGAACTAATGTTTGCCTTTGATAATTCTATTATTTAGCTATTTTCTGTTTCTCCTTCAGTCTATCATCTTTAGGTTTAATTCTTTTTCTAACATCTTAAGATAACACTTAACTCACTTATTTTTCAGCCTTTTTTGCATATATGCATTTATATTAGGTGTACATAATAGGCAGATCTATAGAATCAGAACATAGGTAAATGGTTGCTAGCACTGGTGACAGGGAAAAGCAATTAGGAAGGAATGGGAGTGATTGTGATGATGGTAAATATGCTAAAACCTCTTGAAATTTATATTTAAAATGAGTCATTTGTATGATATATGAAATATATCTCAATAAACCTGTTAAAAATACATACTGCCTGATCCCATTTACAAAAAGTTCAAAAACAGACAAAACTAATGTATAATGAGACATAATGGTTATCTTTGGGGAAGATAAGGAGAACAATGATTAGGAAGAGTCCCAGGTGTTATGCCAATTCTGGCAAGTTGGTAATATTCTGTTTCTTGATTTTGGTTAGGATTACATGAGTGTATTCACTTTGTAATAAGTCATTAAAAGAAAACACATCAGCCGAAACCGGTTTGGCTCAGTGGATAGAGCATCAGCCTGCAGACTGAAAGGTCCCAGGTTCGATTCTGGTCAAGGGCATGTACCTTGGCTGCAGGCACATCCCCAGTAGGGGGTGTGCAAGAGGCACTGATCGATGATTCTCTCTCATCGATGTTTCTAACTCTCCCTCTCTGTTCCTCTCTGTAAAAAAATCAATAAAATATATTTAAAAAAAAAAAAAGAAAAGAAAACACATCATTTCCTCTCCACACTCAAGATATGTGGGTTTTTCACATTGAGCAATTCTCCAGTTCTCAGAAGACACTACAATTGGGTATCCTACAATTTAACCCAATTTTCAAACTAACTGCCCAGAGGTAGCTTGGACCCCACAGATTAAGGGGTCAGTCCCTCAACTCTGCTCCCACTTCAGATGCCGATCAAAAGTCCCAAGGTGTCACCTGTACTCTGACTGACCGGCTGTAAATCAAGGGTTCCCATGATCCTCCTCAAGTTTGGTAATTTGTTAGAATGGTTCACAGAACCCAAGGAAACAGTTTACTTACTATTACTGATTCATTACAAAAGATTTATTGAAGAACAGAATTGAATAACCAGATGAAGAGAAGCATATGGTGAGGTCTAGAAGTGTTCAAAGCATAGGAGCTTCTGTCCCTGTGGATTTGGGGGTACCCACCCTCTTGGCGTGTGGCTGTGTTCTTGTTCACCAAACTCAGCTTCTCCAAACTCTCTTTGGTATGGGTTTTTATGGCTACTTCATTACAGTAGGCATGGTTGATAAAGTCATTGGTCATTGGTGATTAAACTAGTCTCCTGCCCTGACCCCTTTCCCAGAGGTTCAGGGATGGGGCTGAAAATTCCAACTTAATCATGAGGTTGTTGTGGCAACCAGCCCCACATTCTTAGGGGCTTTCTAAAACTTGCCTCAGTATTATATAAACTTGGGTGTGTTTGAAATGGCTGGTTATGAATAACAAAGGACACTCACTTTGACCATTTCAGAGCTATTTTTAACTGGAGGATTAAAACCAAATAAAAGATGCTCTTTTCACCTGTTTTTGGAACTAGGGACAAAAGAAACATATAACAAAAGACTTCCTTTTGTTCTTATCACTTAGAAAGTTAACAAGTGTTTTAGAAGCCCTGTACCACAAACCATAATAAAGACCAAATATAAATTTCTTATATCACATCACCGACATTAAGTTTGTAAATACTTCAATTTTTTGGAAATAATTATTTTTTAAATGTTCTTGTAAGCCGAAACCAGTTTGGCTCAGTGGATAGGGCACCAGTCTGCGCACTGAAAGGTCCCAAATTCGATTCTGGTCAAAGGCATGTACCTTGGTTGAGGGCACATCCCCATAGGGGGTGTACAGGAGGCAGCTGATGTTTCTCATCAATGTTCCTAACTATCCCTTTTCCTCTCTGTTAAATAAATAAATAAATATTCCTATAAAATATTTTGCTAAGTGAAATAAGCCAATCTGAGAAAGACAGATATCACATGGTCTTACTTATTTGTGGAATCTGATGAACAAAATGAATTGACCAACAAAAGACCTGAAGCATGGAGGCATGGAACAGACTGATATACTCTGATGTAGGTTAGAGGGGCAAGAAAAGGTAAACCAAAGACATATACTAACTAGAGACCCAGCACACAAAATCGTGTGCTGGAATGGTCCCTAGGCCTAGCCTGCATCAGGGCCATCTGAAGTTCCCATAAGAACCCCACTGTCTTTGAATATGCATATACATAATAAACGTGACAGTAACCCATTTGGGGGTCAATGCTATTCTTGCTGTAAGTATGTGTAAATCTTAATTTGATGTGCACCAGAAGCAGGGCCTAAGGAGAGAATTACACATATTTTGTGAGGTGATTCTATTGACGGGGAACAGCACCAGATGTTAGATCTCAGTCCTTGAGTTCAGCTCAGAAAAGAACTCAGAGCCAAGGAACTCAAATACAACCAAAGTTTATTTAGAAAGAAAAAGGTAGCCCTGGCCAACTAACTCAGTTGGTTAGAGCATTATCCTTTTACAGCAAGGTTGCTAGTTCAATACCTGGTCAGGGCACATACAAGAATCAACTAATGTATGCATAAATAAGTGGAACAACAACTGGATGTTTCTTTTTTTTTCTCTCCCTGTCCTTCCCTCCCTCCCTTTCAGCTGTATGGATTCTGGGGGGAAAATTACAGAGGGTTCAGTACTTTTAGAGGTTTCAAGACATCCACTGGGAGTCTTGGAAAGTATCCCCCACAAATAAGCGGGGTGGACTACTATATATCATTTTCAGGGTTACAACATAATGACCTGATTTTTTTTTTAAGTATATATTGAGAAATTATCAACACAATAAATCTAGTTAACATCTATCACCACACAGAACTACCAATTTTTTTTTCTTGTGATGAAAACTTTTAGCAACTTTCAAATATATAGTACAGTACTATTAATTATAGATTTCATGCTGTTCATTACATCCATCCCCAAGACTTTTTTTATCTGGAAGTTTGTACTTTTTGGTACATTTCACCCACCTTCACCAAAATAGTGAATTTTATGTTATGTATATTTTATCACAATTTAAAACAACAACAAAACAAAA